TTATTATTTAAAAAAAGAATTTTTATTATAAACATTTTTTTATATCTACTATAGTTTTAAAGATATACAGGGAAATAGGGTAACACATACGCGAATGAGTTTGTAAGGTTGTCAGCTACAAAATAAGTGTATATAAACGTTATTCATATGTTAACTGCTGTACACATGCATTACTTTTGGGATGACCCACGTAGGTTAAGTTAGTACTTGCAGTGCAAAGGGGTTAATGTTATATTATTATTATATCAATATGAATTGTATATAAATAAGTAAAACTCACATGTGCGAACTGTTATAGGGTTTTCGAGGACGGCAGGGAGACAATAATGACGTTCGAGAATGACGTGCTGAAGTCGAAGACGGTGAACGGCGTGCCACAATCAACGTACAGTTAAATCACAGATCTCTACCGAGTACTCTCGCTCGATCTCTGTTCGGCAATTGAGAAATTCCTGTCGTCGTGTCACGTTTGCGAGTAACGTTTCTGCGCTCTACTGAGATGATTGTATTCCTGCTACCTATCTACCAGAATGAAAAAAAAAATCAATCTTTTCTCAATAAGTCGTTACCGCATCTTTTCTATAGATCTTCTCCATCGACTGGCTCCTGCGCTTCTCGTTGGAATGTAGTTTTGAACAAAAAAAGAAAAAACAGAAAAAAAAAGATATGCCGCTGGTCGATGCGCTTCTCCACGCATTGTACACAAGAGAACGACAAAAGAAATGTATACATATATATATATATATATATACAATATATACATATATGTATACAAACAGAGATACATATATAAGATCGAGCCCGTTTAGAAAACAAATCAAAAAAATGCTTAATTTGGAAAATTAACTTTTTAAGCAAAAAGAAATTATATGCGCGCGCACACACACATACACACACCCCACACACAGCCGCGACGCAAATACTACTCTCTTAAGCTTTTGTTCCCGTCACCTTCTCTGTTTTACCAGGTTTGACGAGTCGACAAGTCGTCAGCTGACCGACATTGCCAGCGATATCTCGGTGGCTGGCCAGAACTCGAGAACAGTCCATGGTGACCATCAAAAGGCTAGCAGATTAAAGACGCACATCATAGCAGGTCATCCACCTCTCACTAAGAAGCAAGATAAGAGTAAGAGAAAATAGAGGCAACACTCTTGCAGCCTTCTCTCATTCGTTTCTTAATTTTTTTTCCTTTTTTCGGTCTCCATTATCTTTTTTTTTTTTCGTTTCTTCAAACAGACGCATAACATACATATATATACATGTAATTACTACATACGTGTAAAACCATTTATATAGATCGGTTATGTAAATTTTATCGCTTTTGCTATCATCGTTCGAATTCAAAAAGAAAAAGAAATTTAACGGCTTAGCTTCGACTTACCTCACATCTGTTCGGTTTTTATCTTAATAAAAGAAATTCGCTGCAAAGTAGTATTGCATTGAAGGTGACGTCTTAAAATTGATTATTAATCGCGGTTCGTAGAGAGAGAAAGAGAGATAAAAAGGCCCTTCTTTCTGCGAAAGAAGAAAGAGAGGTTATTACATTACAGAACATTCTGTTGCGTTTTATAGATAGCGCGTCGTTTCCGTTTCAAAATGTGGCGTATTACGTTTAATGATACGGTAAGTTTCGCTTATCCTAGATTCCTTAGAGGATTAATTAATTCATTATCTCGTAAGTTATAATTGATAGATTTTTACTCGTAAGTAAGTCGCGACAACTTCGACTGAGTTTTAACGACTTTTGAACGTTAAATACACACCCAGGCACACGTATCTTCAATCTTTGTGCGGATAAGATATACACACTTCACACCTAACACGTGGATATTCTTAATTTCAATTTAGGATACCACGTATAACTTACAGCCATAACCAGTGCTCTTGAAAAGGATAAAATTGTATTACGACAATGTTTTGCTATTATGAAGTATTTCGTTTTTATCCGATTCAGTGGTGAAACATTAACGATGGAAGAAATGTATTCCAGTTTTTTGTAACAGATCCTTTAAAAGAAAGAAGAGAGTAATCACATACAGGGTTGTTTCTCTGTTGCGGAAATGTTTCTCCCCTACGAACAACTTAAGTGTCGTAATCCTATTTGTTTCTCTTAGTATTCTCTTGCATATGCAAGATATTGCATACATAATGCATATATAATGATAAGGATAAGGAAATGTTAAACTTACGTGGAGAAGAAAAATACATTATTAATATACACTAATATATTTCATTCTCTTATCGATATATCCAACACCATGTTCTCTTTTTTTTAATCATTGTAACGATAAAATATTTTCAAGGTGGAATACTCCTTTTTGGAATATTATTTATAACAAACTGACTCTGTTATTTTTTTTTCTTTCATCAAAACGGCTTTATTACAACGACGTTCATTGGATTTATTGTGATTTATTATAAAAAGAAGCCGTAGGCCTACAATTGTTGTGAAAGTTCGCTCTAAAGTAAAGAAAAATTATTTCTTTTTTAATACTTTGACCATTATGCGCTTCGATGTGGTATTAAAAAACTCGTGTATATGTATTCTAAAGATATTATGTATGTTAACAGTTGCGTGAGTGAATAATGCATGTGTTGACTCCGCCAAAAAGTCAACGACATCGACGTTGTAAATAGCGAATCAGTGATAGCGAAATAAATTCAGCTACCACGAGACAAAATCTCAGACATCAATTCCCCTTTTCCTTTTTTTCTAACAGTTCTTGTATGTATATATATATATATATCTTCTGTTCAAGTATAAAAGACTGCTAAAGTACAAAAAAGAATTTGAGTATAAAAAAATAATTATTTGAAGAAGTATTTAAACATTTTTGCAACTACTGCACCCTGGTATCAAAAATAAGAAAATACATTGCACATCAATAACAATATAATAGAAACCATAGAACTTGATAAAATTAATTTTTCGCATCCATGGAAATCAGTTTTTCCACCTTCGAAATGTACTGTTCTTTCGCATCATCTTGACTCGTGCCCTTCCAGCGATTCCAAGAATTCCATTTGGCTTTGCCTTTAAAGTCTAGCATTCCTGGTTTTACTGGAACAGTAGCAAAGTGTCCCTTTAAGAAAGTTTAAATTACATAAATATGCCTCATTATTTATGTCACTTATAAATTATTTTGCATGTTTATTGCTATTCGTTGTACAATTAGCATTGCAAATTAAAAGTCAAGACAGCAAGTAAATTTAAATATAGTGAATATTAAGTAACCTATTTAGTCAAATGATTTACTTGCGTAGGAAGTTCAAAGGTCTAATTTTTCCAACACACTGACACAAAGAGAATCAGTTACATTTAAAGAACCAATAATATTGTTCTACATACACGTATTACAATCTCCAACAAGTGCCTGTTTATACAATCCGTACAATTCAAGCAGGTCGAAATCTGTAGGTCGGACACTCAAGTTTTTCACGTCCTCTGTAGCTTTATTAAATTTCTAAAAATAAAAATATGAAAGATAAGAAGACTACTCTCATATTTTTTAAAATACACGTATATAAGTACACCAAAAACAAGAACCAAAGAAACAATTAAATAATTATGACTAAAAATTAAGATTAAAATATTTGAAGATATTTACTTCGTCCAAAGACATTTTTCTCTACAATGAAAAGAATCACTAAAACGTTGAAAAATACGAAAGCACGAGTTCCACGTCCGTTCTATGGCACAGATCTGGGAATACAATCGATTACGTTTCTCCCACTACCGTCATTCGCATCATACGACCATGACTGCCAATAATTTTCGAGCCACAGAGACCTTTGATTAAGGAAAAATAATGTCATCACAAGTTATCACGATGCATGTTGATAATATTAAAAAAAGCAAAAGTAAAGGACGATCGATGTTCTATTACTCGTAGGTACAAATCCAGAAACTCAAAAAATATATTCTTGATTCATATATCCGTTTTATACCATTGTTTTACATTAAGAATTGTAATTTCAGTGAAAAATTGGAATAATTTAAGTTTAATTTAGCATTTATGGTTTTATATATTTTTTGTTTTACACTTATGGTGCAAAATTGCACGCTGAATATAGATTGATGGTGACTGATGACGTCACAAAGCGGGAAAAATAGCGATGGTAATAAAAAGTACACAAAATTAAAAATAGAACTAAGAATACTGCAAATAATATTTCTTCAAAACGTTACCGAGTATTTCGTGAAATGTAATTAAAAGTTTAATTAGATACATACTTCCGATCAAACCTAAAGTACTTTCAATGATGGCGGTATCGTGGCTTAAAGAAGTACGTTCGAATTGTCAAGAATATTTTACCAGTTATAAGAAGAACAATGTAAATGTGAAAAGAATACGTAATAAGCGATTAAACAGAATTAATGAGATTAATAAACATGCAAATCATTCATAAGTTTGTATACCAATATTTCGAACCATACTAATAAGTCATTTCGTTGAATACTGCCGTACTTAATATTTCACGATAAACCATAAAATTTACCGAGTATTGCCAAATTTTTATGTTTAGAAGAAAATAAAAATAAAATAGTATTCCTGTAAAATATATGCGTTGCATACGTGATAACCTTTTTTATTTCCAAATGATATAGCTAGATGGCAACACTTGACCACTTCTACGTAAAAAATGGCGGACTGCAAGGGTGCGTTTTGTGATTCTTTTCTTAGATAGTAAACTATCGTTAAATTCTCCACGATTATGTATATTATAATTGTTAAAAATTCTCAAAAAGTTTGTCATTACGCTTGTGTCATGTTCTTCCGTGAATTGCGCGTTAACCGACTCCATTTCCCGCAATATTTACTTACATGAGCGTTTCGACAGATTGACGAAATAACTTTGTTTGACAATCATTTTAATTGTTTGTTTTGTATTTCACGCAGAGAACAAAGAAGAAACGAATAGACCATCGTATGTTTTAAAGGTGGATCCACCTCAAGAATCTCCGGATGATTCTCCTGAAAATTCCACCAGTGGTAAATACATTGTTATTTTTTGCTCCAAATACGCAACTTTTCTCCCAGTTCCATTTACAATGTTTACTTACACTTGAAATCTTCTATGTACGTTCCTTACCGCATTAAACTACAATATACACTGTTTCGAATATCTCAAGTAATTTTTGTTACTCAGTGTATAGGTTATGGTGTGGAAGTTTCAAGTATTGCTTACATGTAAAGTTCGTGAATGGTATTTTATGAAATCTAAATTTTTCCAGAAGAAATGGAGAGTCAAAACAATAGTCAGAAACAGAGAGAAAAGAACACTAGGGAATCACCATCTAGTTCTAATAAACCAGTACTAGCTGCTCCGAAATTTGGAACTTCATTTGGAGCTACCGACTTCTCCAAGTCTTTGGCTAAGAAAAGAAGGTCTTCTGTATTGTGGCCCTCTCAGTTGTGTGCAGTAACTAATAATGAAACAACCGCTAAAACAATCCAACCTGTAAAACTTTTTAACCCATTTGCAAAGGTCACAGACAGTTTTCTAGAAGAGAAAAATGACTCCTTAACAGAAAATAATAAAAATGAAGCAAAAGAAGAGAAGAGTGAAGAGAAAGAAGACAAGAATGAGGAGAAAAAAGATGAGAGTGAGAAGAAAGAAACAAATAGTGAAGTAAAAGAAACTAAAAGTGAGGAGAAACCAGCAGAGGAGATGAAGCCCACCTTCCTCATGTTGGGTGCCAGCACAAAGGAAATTGTAAATAGTACCGTAACGCCCTGTGCCTCAGAGCCAAACTTCGTATTTGGTCAGAACCTGCAGGAACGTGTTATGATAGCAAATGATGCAGAAAGTTCGATGGAAAAAACGGAGGGAGAGGAAAAAAAGGAAACTTTGAATGAAAATGGTACTACAGAGCTTCTCTTCTCTAATGCCTCTGCAGCATGTCGCACTACCTCTAGATCAGGTCTAACATTAACAGAAGCGGCTCAAGAGCTGGAGGAGGCCAACCGTGCTAACAAACGAAAATACAGTGAAGTAACACCTCTAACCGGCGAAGAAGGAGAGACGAATATCCTTCAAATCAATTGCAAATTCTTTGCGTTTGACAAGGTAAGAAAATAAAAGCGAAATTTTATTTATCGTGAAAGCCTTAAAACTCTAAATATACAATTTTTCAGGCTAGAGGCAGCTGGCAAGAGAGAGGGAGGGGTACCTTACGATTAAACGATCGGGACGAGGAGTCCCGTCTGGTAGGACGCACTGCGGGTACGCAAAGATTAATCCTGAACACAAAAGTGTGGCCTGGCATGATTGCAGAGAGAGCTGCGCCTAAAGCGTTACGACTAACTGCGATGGACGTTCAAGGAAGCATTAGGATCTTCATAGTTCAAGCGGCACCAAATGAGGTTGAACAGTTGCACAACCTGTTACAACAACGGCTGAAACGCGCACAGGAACGCCAACCTAAGAAACTGGCGACCGACCACTGACAATCGATTAATCGTCCCTGCTTCGCTCATTACCGTCATATGTGACACTGAGATGGTAACAAACACATGAGAAAAGAATTGAGGAAAACATCGTCGAAGCTATCTGGCCCTATCTCTCCTATAGCACACGTACGCAATAGACGCGGCTATGATATTTGCTTTCCTCAGGAAGTTCTTTAGACCTCGACATCTATCTAATCTCGTTTGCAGGCAGACAAAACAAAAAGATGAAAAAAAAAAACGTGGGAAAAAGAAGTCGTAGTAGAGTCTGGGAATTCTTTCTGGTATACTAATTTTTGTAATCATTCCCAATTGATAAGTTTTCTTTTACACGACATACAATATACATACACACAGGATCAATCATTGGAACCCGCTGTGTAACTTTACGTTTTCAGTTTTATAGCGATGTTCGTATCGATTTAGAATTCTATTCCTTGTCCTATATATATAAATATATAAATAATGTACTTTCTAAGAACACGTTACTGTTAGTTTCGTTATTTAACAAATTAGTCCTGCCGAGTGTAACAGCTCGACGTACTGGATCTAACGATGAGGAAATAGGTTAATCTTAAGACTCTTAACACGAGCACAAAATGTAAACGTCGTTTCCAAGCTCGAATCTGTAACTATTTGTATTTTAATTTAGTTTTGTATATAGGTGAACAGGTCAAGTTTCCTCGTCGTGGTTCGTGTGCGTCTGTCGCGTATGAAAAGGCTGTGTGTTCAAGGCGGCTTCTCTCTCTCTCTCTCTCTCTCTTTTTGTAACGCGACACGCAGTAACGGAAGAGCAAAGATATTACTTAAGAAGTTAAAATCCAACACGAGTAATAACTACTGTTTCTCTGTACTTCTGTTATTATTAAGGAAACAAATTATTCACTGTAAACACTCGTTAATGATAAAAGAGAAGAAATACAGACGTTTGCAGAAAAAGAATTATGTGCCTTTTATCTTTTTCAATCCCTATGCAGCATCAGATACCCTTTCCAATCCTTCTGGAATTAAAAAGGAAAAATTAAAATTAAAAAAAAATCTGGAGAATATTTTAATACATTAACATTGCAATAAAATTTCTAGTTTCATCGTAACCTAAATAATAAGAATAATGCACAGTAATACAGTCTTTGCAACATGAGTTTTTAAATGTTCAAAACTATTTGCAAAACTACCCACACTTTCTTTCATTACATTCGTACATAAATTTGGTCTTCCAACTTATTTAGAAATCTTCCTGTTTTTTTCCCACGTATGTGCGAACAATTTCTAACATGACGAACCAAGGAAAAATGTTACATCATAGAAAAATTCTTTTTTGTGGATCATCACATATCTCCAGGCTGGAAAACGCGGCTGGTCATGCGTTCTAGAATATTTTCCGCAAGCGGCGCTACGCGAACCGATGGCGGGCGGCATTCAACAGGCTGATATTTATAGATTCGAGAGTTTCGTGCAAAGCTACACAACGTTTTAGGCGTCAAAATCCAGTTCCTACGTTCGTCAACATCCACCCGATGATCCATGTCCACCCATTTAATTGTGTCACCGAGCCGCGTGGAATTTCAGTGACCACCAGTTCAAGAAACTTCACCAAGTGTGACATCCAAGCTCTGTGCGTGCGATCTATCAACCGTGTACCTGACGTTTCGACGTTTCTGCCACCACTTTTGCTCACGACACATCCTTGTTGAGACAATGTACCATATTTGCACATCGAATCTTCACAAATGAGGAGCACTCTTCATTTCCACCGTCAACGTAATAACACTTTCCTCTTCGAATATAAAACTCTCATCCAAACACGCTTCTTCAAGAGCGTGGCCTTCGTCGTTTCACCTGGAACGATTTTGAAGAATACAATCAGCGTCTTCTCGGTCACTTTGCTTCGTGAAAAAATTCTGTGAGAGTATTTGAATTGTTTTATACTTCCTTAAGATTGTCGAACAGAATTTTTCCGCGGTAATTTAATTCATCAAGGTCACTATTCTCTCTCGATGACCTACTTTAGAACCACAGGTATACCTCTGTTGCCACTAATTTAGCTAACGATGTGACGTGCTATTCCGCCCGATGGTTCTTCTCAAGGAACAGTGTCAATAAATCTTGATCGACCGGAAGCGATCGATGCCGCGTATAGGAACGAAGATGTTGCTGGCGGACGGGCGAGAATTCTTCTGGCATTACGCAGCGAGGTGCTCCGGAATTCGAGCGTCACGAGGCGGAAAATTGAAGAGATAGCACCTACGATTCACCAGGCACACGGAAATTGAGACTCTCTGACTCGTAGTGTGCCAAACTAACTAGCGTTATTTACAATAGTCGTAGAGGGGAACAAAATAGATGACACTGACGCTGATGACAAAGGAATTGGCGTGGTCTAGTCGATAAGCGAGGAAGGTAGAGAATTGGTGGAAGATGATGTTCACTGGTGGGGCTCACGCGAAGAGGAGGAACGCTGGTGGAGGTTCTGCTTCCGGCCGGAAGACCTCAGCGGACCGCAGGAGCCCTCAGCCTCGCTCAGGCGCGGAGGGATACATTTACAGGTGAGCTGGTTGGTACGTAAAGCTTCTTAATTGCTCTGTACCTTCGTTCAATTAAAATATCAAAGTCTAAATAAACAGTTACCTAAAAGTAATTAGAATTACCTAAAAGTACATTTTGTAGCGTTATGATAGGAATTATTATTCAGTTAGTACCTTTGGAAATCCTCTCGCCTTATTTAATTATTGGTAATTATCGTTAACTACCTGTCTGGACTGATGTAGTCGCTTAATTAGAGTACAATCTGCCTTAGTATGGATTAGATATAGTCCACGATACAATTCGATTATTTAGAGTACATGAAATGAGAACTCAAGGGTAAATCACTTCGATAGCTTTGCGCGTAGCGTAAGCGGCTGCCACTATAGGTGTCCAAGGGTTCGAGATCTACTTACTTTAAAAAAATTTTAATCTACTATTATATTTTAATTAATTTAATTTGTCACTGAACAAGAAAATTTCCGTGCTCTAATAATTAGTCAAAATTAATTATGACCGGTGGAAGTGAATTTAATAATTCTCATAAATTCAGATTAGAATTGACGCGCGTTTGGTAGCTATTTAGAGTTAATTTTCCATGCTATCTACAAGGTGTTGCAAAAATTCCAGAACAAGAATTCCAATATTAAATCCTGCGGATCTACCCCCAACGACGTCTACAGGGAAAGCCTACGTTTACAAAACGAGAATTCCTCGAAGGGATATTGCGTCAACCTCCTCCGTGGCTCCTCTATGCGAGAAAAATAATGCGGGTGGAGGTGCAATCACTAGAAGAAGGGGTGCGGTGAAGCAGAACAAGGTGCACGTGGTTCGTGGTCACAGATTGGTCGCGAAATTCTTCAGACAGCCAACTTTCTGCGCCTTTTGCAAGGACTTCCTTTGGTAATCTGCGGAAAAATGAATAAAAAGTTCAGAAAGACATATTAGCCCAAAAAAGGCGAAAAAAAAAAAGAAAATTTTTAAGTTAAGTTTAAATTTTTAATTAAAAATTTCTTAAACTTTCACCAAGAATATTCGCGCTTTAACAGCATCGTAATTAATAACTGAAGAGTCTCGATTTATCATAAAAGACGGCCGCTTTGATGATATGTCTAAAAATAGTTCCCGCTTCGTTCAGGCTTTGACACATTAGTCAAGTATTGGACGCCGGTTTCCCCGAGTCGCGGACGTGTTTTCCAATTAATCGAAAGTGTGTGTTCCTCACTGTTGCAGGGGCTTCGGGAAGCAGGGGTACCAGTGCCAAGGTAAATATTAAATCGCAGTCCGTTTCTCGCTACACGGTGTTCGCCTCTATTAATATTCCATCGCGCGGTTTTAGCCTGCCAAACCGCGGTGCACAAGAAGTGCCACGATAAATTGTTAACCAAGTGCCCAGAAAGCGGCAGGGAGTCAGAGAACACGATAGTAAGTCCTTCTTCTACAATTTTTCAATGTTGAACACGCTGAGAATTTTTTTTCTGCTCTTCTGTACCACCTTTGAGACAATTTATGGTGGATGATCGATACCTATATTAAAGTAGACATACAATCAGACCTCGAGAAAGCCATGTTTATTTATTTGCGAAATGAGCATTTATTACCAATTTTCATTGTTGAATTTTTTTTTTTAAAGATCGTTACCGACTACGATTCAAAGAACACACCATGTTTGCTTATTCGCTTGATGATATATGAACCATGCAAAAGTTTTACCGCGTTTCTGACGTTTCCTAGTATGCTGAAATTTACGTCTATTTCTACACATATCCTCAGAGTCGTGTGCAAATATTTATCCATGATGCAATAGGAGATTCTACCGAACTCTCCTTGTATTTTGATACATCCGATTCTTCCAGTTGTTTAGAATCTGCTATCCTGGAGATTTATGCCATTAGAAATAGATCTGACACTTCTGCTTCTTCTTCTTTTTCTTCTTCTCCTTCCTTCCTTTTTATTTTTATTACAGACTGTAGACATTTATTTTTATAGAAAATGGTTATGTGTTCTGTTTGTGGTGGCTCACTCTGTCAATCTGTTTATGCTATTTGTTGAAAGTAACGCAATAACCAGTCCCACGCAGCAGAATCGTTCTAATTCTGTTAATACTTGTTCAATGGCAGTACTTGAGGGAGCGTTTCAAGGTAGATGTGCCTCACAGGTTCCGGCTACACACGTTCATGTCGCCGACCTTTTGCGATCACTGCGGTTCCTTATTGTACGGCCTATTTAGACAGGGTCTCAGATGTGACGGTAAGTAAAAACCAATTGTTCCATACCTATTCCATTTTGGTGCACCTTTATGGACCATAAATACACTGTGAACCTTCACTAAAAATTCTCTATCACCTAAAATACTTCCAGATTTTAATCTTTATGTCTAAAGTTAGATGTTCGTTTGATTAAAAACAGAATACGTCGTTTATTCGTTGGCTATTTCTAAGATTCTCTGAACAAGCAACAATAGGCACCGAGGAGAGAAGCATTTGGCGCGGGATTCGGTGCTCGAGCACGAAACAACGCGAAACCGTGGCCCCGTTGACATATAAATTCGCGTTTTACACGACTTGAGAGACAACGACACAAAACAGTGGTCTGGCGAGTCTTTTGATGCATGTTTTTCCAACTTTTTCCTTTCAAAGCTTTTGTGTGACACTAACCAAACCATACTTGAGTGGAAATTCTACCAATGGCCAGCAAATAGAATTTTTTTACCAGAAACAACAACTGCCCTTTTTATATACCTAAAAACAATCTACGGTAAATATAATTCTAGGTGCAATTTTTTTTTTTTTAAACAGGAACCAATTAAAAAATTCACAATTATATAGCAATTGGTCTTGTCTACCTGAATTTTCGTTCCTGAAGAAATATTTCGGTGGCTCGTGTAACAGTTAAGTGGCCATGTATTTTACAAACAATAGATACCATCCTCCCCGTGAGTCACGTAAACGCTACAATCCGGCAAATATTCGCGGCAGAGACGGTGCACGGGTTATTAGAGTCCAGCTAGTATAGTTAGACGCTAGAAAGCCTCATATACTAAATTTCTATTATTACACTGGGTCGCTGGCTTAGACTCAGTCAGTGTTGGCTCCCTGAACCGTGAGAACGGCTCGTCGAACACCTGAGAACGCGTACGCCGGCGCTCAGTCGTCTTCGGGAACGTCGAACCGCTCGTGCCGCTGCTCGTGTCTCCCATTTGTGTTTCCTCCACGTATTCGACCCTTTTATCAACTGCTCTACACGTGAACCAGTTGGATAACACTCGCCAAGATGCCCTACTACGGTGAAGGGTTACCCTACTACTATGGGGGAGCTTTTTCCAACCACAGTTCACTGATGACTGGTGCTCCACGGTAAGTTTCTTATTTTTTTTTTCTATCCTCCTCCTGTATTCTTGGTCCTTACGAAGTGATCAGCATATTTATTCTCTTTATTAACCTGAAAAAATACCATGATCAGTTCAATTTCTCTGAAGTATTGTTCATTCCTTGACTTTTTAATACCTCCAGGCTCATTCTTTTTCAATAGTTTGTTTACATTTGCTTCTTATCATAGACACTTTCAGAAAAATGAGTGTACCCTTCCAAATTCTTTGATCTTTCCCACGACAGCTAATTCTTTTTGTCATGTTAATTTTTCAAACCATAGTATCATTTCCTTTTGGACATTCTATTTCATATTTGTTTAAAGCTAGACAAAGGAATAAAGGACAATGTTTTCTGAAATACTAGCCATTTCATAGTCTCCTGGCAGGTGGAGTTCAAGCTCAATTTTCTCCACCATCCTATCACCGCTGCTACTACACACAGAAATAGAGTTCCAAGAAGCAGAGTTCCTTTCTTCGCTTTCTTTCCTCACTTTTTCTTCACAGATCATTATTTTTGTTCGTGGGGGCTTCTCTGGTGGACAGTTACGTGAACGCAGGCAACAAAGAAACATGGCGACCAAAATAGCTGCATTTAATACTTCCAAACAGTGGAAAAGAATGTGTAGGGGGAAAGGGAGAAAAATCCTATTGTTCAGAGAATCTGCTGTAATGAATATGAAAATGTCGGGCACACGGTTCTCTGCAATCAGAATAGCTTCTCTAGAATGTTATTCCGAATTTTGGCAAACGTCTAATATGACACACGATCCGTCAAACCTCTTACTCATTAGTAGAATCTTAGGTGGCGATTAATCGATTGGTCTGCAAGTTAGAATAAATCAAAAAGATCTACAAGGAGTGGCGGAATCGTTGAGAATATCATTGTTCTAAAAATAGATCGAGTTGTCTGGATGTTTGTGCGGTTTCCACGTGATAAAACTCCGCCGTACTCGTTGCACTGCCAAAAAATCCTCCTCTCAACTTCGCAATTACACTGTAACGTTCAACATTCCGAAAAATATTAATGTTAACGTTTACAAAAGATACGCGTAATGGTAAAACGATATTCAACCTGTTAACTCGGTCGAAAATTGGAAAATCGGTACAAATTCTGCTTTGATGTACTTTACATTCGATACTCTATTGGGAATTCCCTAAGATATTAGTTGTTTCCAAGTTAACAGGTTGAATCGGTGAATATAAAATGGCAGACTATTTGTAGAATATCTGTGACAATTTTGGAATCACTTTTGGCTATACAATTACTTTTCGTTGAATAAAAATGATTACTTAATATCGCTACGATCATTTGCCACCGAACAAAACGTAAAGTGGCTCAAAATCGTTCTCCGCTCTCGATATCGGCCAGCAAAGACACGTGTGCCCAATTGCCACTTGTTTGTCATCGTGCAACTGGTCGAACGCGTGTGATCGATTCATGAATCGAAGCCTGTCAATCATTCGTGACCATGACCGGGCCAAATCGAGTTCGTAATAAGTGTTCGCGATGCGCTTCCCTTCTCAAACGTAATTTACACACGTTTGGCATTGAGACGATGCAATTACGGCGCTTATCAGGCCAAGCTCGCGCATCACAGAAATTTCTAACATTATGCAACAGGCCAAACAATGATTTGTAACTTTTCACTCGTCCCTCTCTGCAATAAAAATCACTTTTAGTCGCTTGAAACATTCTTCTTCGTATTTTTAACGTACGCTATATTTTTCTTTAGCCTTGAAGCAAAATGTCAGCATTTTGTATAATGTTTTGTTAAGAGAAACATCTTAAAAACTTTTACTAGAGTTATAAGAAAGATAAGCCACCAGAGAAGCTTCTAAGTTATTTAGAACCCGGAAGCTCATCAGATTATTCGCGTAGACCGTTCCACACGCCGCTGTCCCGGTACTCGCCGCACCTATCGACCATCTCAGAGTCTCCGCTGTCCACTCTGCGCCGCTACTCTCCAGTCGCAGTGCCCACTCGACCCAGACGAGTCATTGACACCGCCGACATCGACGTCTCCACGCCCAGGATCCTCTCGCAAGATGGAAACCATCAGAGGAACCGTTTACGTCGAGACAGACCCACCATAAAGATCAGGAGCCAAGCCTTGAAAGATAATCCCGCTCTGCGCCAGCATAACGAGAGACACGAGAAGTCTGTGGGTGAATTACTCGTGGAAAAATTTTTAATCAAGGACAAGAAGCTTGAAGAAGAAGAGAAACGTCTGCAATTGTTCCACCAGGCCAGTTTACTCCAAGATGAAGAGGATGACGTAGATCTGCAACAGATAAAGAAAATTACAAGAAGATTCACAAGAAGAAGGTCCTCCGCGGATATACAATTGGACCCTGAGCAGATTGAGAGAGAAGTGGCTTACGCACAGGTCCAAGCAAAGGTGCTGGACACTCTGGTCGCTGAAGAGCAGGCAGAGATTCAAGATGCAGTGCGTAGAGGGACTCTGATTAAGAAAGGAACTGTTGGGGGGCCAAGAACTGTGCCTGGATTTTTCAGGAGCGTTGATGGAGATACTGCATCCCAGGGTGAAGAGGAAGCTGCTGCTCAGAAGATGAGAAAGAACCTGAAGAAGCTTAAAAAGAAAAAGAAAACGACTGACAAGCCTTCTCCACCTGAGGATGGTAATAGTTCTAGAGAACGTAGGTCTAGTACCTCTAGTGAAGCCTCTGTGGACGTGCAGACCAGTGAAAATAGCGAAGAGAAAGAAAGAAAGCGCTCCAAGCCTCAGACGTTCAAAGTTGAGGCCAGTAACAGTGTGGGAGACTTTTCCACCATTTGGGTGAACAGTGGAGCCATAGAGCAGTTCAGAGAGAGCGTGAAGATTCCAGTTCCTAGAAAAATAACAGCACGTAAGACTGACAGACACGAAACTGAGGAAGAATCCGAGACAGAAGTCATACTACCCGTAAAGCGGCCTTACATAAAGGACACTTCCAGGAACAGCGTGTATTTTACGGTGAAAACGCCACCAGAGACCCTGAAGAGTGATCCATTGAAGGATCTAGACACCATAACTAATGGAATGAAGTCAGAGAAGGAGCAGGAATCTTCTAAAGAGAAAGAAACTGATCAGACTTCCTTTGTGGAGGTCAAAAAGTCGAAAGAAGCGAACCTGAAGAGTCCTTTGAAGGATAAGGTTATTCCGAAGATAAAAAAAGAAGAAATTCCTGACATTTCCAAGCTGAAGAAGGAAGAGTCTATAGGCGTGAAGGAGCCCGTCAAAGCGCCCACGACGAAAAGGGTTGAGGAGAGCAACGTGACGGCAAGTGTTGAAGAGAGCAGCGCCAGCGTAGCGCTTCCATCGGTTTTGGACAGGCTGCCAAAAGCGTCTAAAATTAATACGGATGAAAATAATGCCGTAGAAGCGCCAAAGTGTTTGTTACGAGGGCCGGAGTACCTGGCAAAGCCGATGAAAGCCGAGCGTGACGAGGACGTGGCATCTCTGTTGCCGGGAAAGAAGATAAGCAAAACCGTGACCTTGAGGAACGCCTCTGCAGCTGGTGTCTACGTTGAGCCGGCTAGCGTGGAACTTTCTGATGAATCAAAGAAGGAAAATCAGTTAGTAAAAACTTCTTCCTCATCTAATGACGCAACAGCTAAGCTCGTGACCTTGTTAGAAGATTTCAAGAGTGATACGCAGAAGGCAGAAGGTTCAGAAAGCGTAGAAAAGCTTCTGGTAGAGGATGGTAAGGATAAGCAGGTGAAGAGTGATGTGAAGATGTCGAAACTACCTTTCATGGTAGCTGTAAAGAAGAATGAGACCAATAAAGTGGAGAATAAAGCATTGTTGAAGAGTACAGCGAAGACTGAGAACAAAGAGGCTAGGATACCGTGGAGGAATAAGTTTGCTAAGGTCAACAGCCCTGTGGAGAACAACATTCCTCTGGATAGAAGCATTAGTATGGATTCTCAACCGGTTTTACCCAAAGAACAAGAAAATCTGAAGTCTTTGAAGCAGTCTACCTCTGTAGATGACACTTTGGTGAACAAAATGCAAGTGGAGAAGCCAGTAATCAATGGAGATAGTGGGGCCCTGTCGAAAAGTACCTCTACTGAGTCCATAGACTTCTGGAGCGAGATCAAAGGACCGGAGAGTCCCAAAGTGGCTAAGGTAGTGAACAAGGGATTCAGTTTCACCGGTTCCAAGAGTTCCGAGCCAGGTCAGGCGGTCGAGGACCTCGGCGGCGGGCAGCTGGACAAGAAAAAAGAGACTGATCCTAAAATAAGCGTCGCCACTCCGCCAGCCGGGCTCAGTAATATCCCCGTAATCGAGGAGGAGCAGAAGACTGAAGTGGAACCGGAGAAATTGAAGACTGAGCAGCGGGTTTCAACCTCCGAAGTCTCTTCACCTAGCATAGACAAGTCTGAGGTGAATAAAGATGATTCTACGTTGAAAAAAGGGCTGAAAAAAAAGAGAAACCTGTCCTTAGCCATTGGCCGAGAATCTACAGAAATTTATTCTACCGTGAAGAAGGCTCCCTTAAAGAGGGAGGACTCTTCAGCATCTACAGTATCTGCTCAATCTGTCACAAGTACTCCAGACACGTCAGTACCTGCTTCTGAAGTATCCACACCGGTCTCAGACATTTCTGTACCTATAATAAATATCGTGGAAGCTCCAACACCGACTAGATCTGATTCTCAGGTGTTTGAAGAGGACGACGAGCCAAAGACACCCACCAATGAGTGGCCAGACATTGGACTACCCAAGATCTCCAAATGGAACAATCACAGTGATCTCTCCAACGCCGACGAGGTTGACAAGGACATCACTCCAGTACCCTCTAAGGAGGCCAGCGTAACCTGTAGTCCAGAGGGCAGCCCAGAGTCCTCTAAGAAGAAGAAAGTGATCAGGAAGAAGAAAACTTCTACGACTAAGAAGAGTTCTACTAAGAAAGAAGCTAAAAAAGACAGCAAGGAGTCTAAAAAGAATTCTTCCAAGACTTTGGAGACCCTGAAGCCTCCGGAGGCCAAAAATTCCTCCAAAAGCAGCCCCAAGAACACACCTACTCAGAGGCCCGTAGATCTAATCAGAATGTTCTACACCACTCCATCAGCACTGTTGACTGCAACACCCAGGGACCTGTCTAAAGTCCGCAGAGCCAAGATCAAGAGGAAAAAACATCATTCTAGGAACGCATCCATGAGCAGTGATAGCACCGGAAGCACCACCAGCACTGCAACCACAGAAAGCAGTGGGTCGACGTGTACTGAACTCGACGATGATCCTGAACACAAGAGGATGAACTCTACGAGGAGCAACGACTCCGGCTTTGATGGCTCACCCAGGATATCCAGTACTTATCTGACAGTATTTTGCGCTCTGTTGTTGCAATATTCCCCCAAGACCTTCCTGTGTATAATTCTGGCTTTCTTGAACAATTTGACAGAAACAGAATACATATTGATCCACCGGTTGCTTGGAATTTGGCAGTTTGCTAACACGTGGCTAACAGCTTACTCGTTTGACTAATACATGTTGTTCAGCCTTGCTCTGCATGGAATTTCAAAGAGATACAAAGTTCTCGCTCAAGTCAGCCTGTCAGAGAATTGATCACGTGTTCCGAATGCATACGTAGAGCCAGTTCCTCCTTCTCAACGTTACATAAACTCGCTGTTGCTGAGTCAACGACTCTGTTCGTTAGTTTGTTTATAGGAAGTAATGTAATCATTTCAACAGCCTTGAATCTTTGTGCAAATTCAATCAATTTTTAATTTGTACCTCGATTCAACACTGGTCTAGGTGTTTGTGAACGTTGTGGATCTATTTATAAAGCGCGTCGTGGTTTCACAACAATATTCTAGGCATCATGCTACGAACAAAAGTTTCGAGATAAATTTAGATGGATGATTGGGTGTCAGTGCAGAAAGAATCGCGTGGGAACGCTGTTCTCAGGCTGAATAATATTTTTCAAGCGATATTCCCGGTCCAATGAGGTGCATCAAAGGTATACGATAGAAAATTCTACAGAATAAGACTCGGAACTCTTTAAAAACAGATTGCGATATGGCCTGCCATAAGAAGTGTGAGAAACTGACAGGGAATCTCTGTGGATTGAACCAGAAACTCGTGGCGGAGGCCTTGCAGGCCCTTAGGAGGGGTGAGTTGATCATTCCAGCTCCCAAAAAAAAAAAAATGGCTTTCACAATTTTTAAGGGAGCAGCTCTATATCTAGACGTCAAAAGCTAAAAGAAAAGTTTTTTCAACATCCTGGTGTAATGATCTCGAAATTTATTGACCCAGAATTTTTTGGCCCCCGTTACAGAGCTGCTCCATTAAATTTTTCAACAAAATCAAATCTGATCTTGTGCGTTGGCCGTGCAGTTAGACTTGGCTGGCCCAGCCCCCAGTGCATTCATCTATGACTCCAAATTATGTTAGTATGACATTCCACGTGGTCATCATAAATCCATTCTCCCAGACGGTAAATAATCTGATGGATAAGATTTAATACCGTTGAAATGAAATTGTATCATGGTTAATTCGGTATCTGATACCTATATCGAGTGTATACTCCCTATCTATCCCTTAATCGATCATTTATGTCGGCTTCCTCGAGTCCTATACGCGCGTCACACCACAGTCAGCTCTATTTTCGAGGGATACCAGCCGCCAAGATCCAGCGGTCCCCGTGCCAGAGACGAATTGTCAATTAATGCGCTTATTAATCGAGATTTGACGAACATTCTTGGATAGCTGGCTCGAATTTAATCGTATTCCACATTTAAATAAATAATCTCCTCTTTGCATTCGTTACTTTGCACTCCAGAAGAGGATCTCTGCATCCTGAAACCCTGAAAAGGCATCACTGCAAGTATTTTAATTTCAATCTTTTCTGTGGCTACCATTATAAATAGACTAACCTAACCATAATCTATCACCTGGTTAACATCTAGTTTATCGTCTTCAACTTTCTTTCTGTTTCCAATTTTTGTAGCTCCATCACAGTCGTCGGACACCCAGAGGAATTCAGACTCCTCAGACCATTTTCCAAGCGGAAGGATCACTCCACCAGCCACTAACCTGCCCAGATTCAAGAAATACTCTGTGTCGGACTTCAACTTCCTGAAAGTGAGTCTCTAGCTGCGCATAATGTACTCTCTTCGTTAGCGGTTTTTAGCCGCGACGGCCGTGTTTACTTCGACACGTGCAACGATCGAGCATCTGCCAAGGTCTCAGTGTTGAAAATTTCGCTGACGAAACGCTCGAATTATTCATCGCTAGATGATGGAGGGCCTCTGGCGTGCATCAGACCTCTTCCTGCTATCATAGAAACTTTGTTAACAACCTACAAGATCCTCTAAACTGACCTAAAATAGGAGAACATTCTTATATACCAAATAATCTTATAGTATTTTGGAAAGTTAATTTTTCCATCTACTTTCATTGTTGTAGACAATATTCGTCTTTAGCGGAATATTGAAACTATTAGAATATTAGGACTTACGATTAATTTCTAACTGTCTGAAAATATAGCTTCCGGAAATTTGTAAGCTGCCTTGGCTCGCCTCGATGAAAGCCAATCCGAATCACGTGTGCACCTAGATCACGTGAAACCTGGGTTGATTCACGAGGCAAAATGATCCAGACGATTAGACGTGCACACGTTCGATTCCCGAGTTTACAATCAATCCAATGTGGTCACAATGCCAAAAACCATACTATGTCTTCTCTAAAAGTAAACAGTTCGCTGGTCCATACCCGAGATACGTTGTACGAATTAATCAGAGACCTAGATTTTGAAGCCTTTATATCGACAGTTCTGTCAATGGGGAAATACACAGGGGGAGAATGTTTAAAATGGACTCCATTTTGCGATGGACACTGCCACGCAAATAGACTCACTCGAATTAGCAGCACGCAAGCAACGCATTATTTTTAACAGAGTAGCTCGATCACGTGCAGTACTCTCTCGCTTTAGACGCGTGAACTTTCCACGTGTGCTGGTTTTCGCCCCTTTTAGACCTGGATTTTCATCAGCCAGCGAAACCTTGCCTCACTTTTCACCTCAATTCCTACTTCCCAGCTAGTTCTTGGCTCGTGTTAATCTCGGCTGGCAGTTAGGATTTCTCTGACGATTGATCGTCAGTCTTCCATGGTTTTTCTAAGGGTCTAAGAATTTACAAATTACAATTTGGATTGTTCTTGACACACCAAAAACGTGAAAAATAAAATTTCCAATTAACGTGTGTTCTTTTATTGTGCCCAGGTCTTAGGGAAAGGTAGCTTTGGAAAGGTTTTGCTGTCTGAACTTCGTGGAACCGAGTGTGTATACGCGGTGAAGTGTTTGAAGAAGGATGTGGTCCTTGAGGACGACGACGTGGAGTGCACTTTAATAGAAAGAAAGGTCCTGACCCTTGCTACAAGACATCCGTATCTCTGCCACCTGTTCTGCACGTTTCAAACAGACTCCCACCTGTTCTTTGTGATGGAGTATTTAAACGGTGGCGACCTGATGTTCCACATACAGAAATCTGGTCGTTTCCCAGAGCCAAGAGCTCGATTTTACGCTGCAGAGATCTGGTCAGGCTTGAACTTCTTGCACAAGAAGGGAATAGTGTACAGAGACTTGAAGTTAGATAATGTGTTGTTGGATTTCGAGGGGCACATCAGGATAGCCGATTTTGGCATGTGCAAGTTGCAGATATTCCTCGATAGAACCGCTGACACTTTCTGCGGCACGCCTGATTACATGGCTCCTGAGGTAAGAAATTAGAAAATTATATTTCTGACAGTAGCGGTAGACCTTGAAGACTGTTTAAGTAAATATCATTGAACTTCTTTTAGTACAGAGTGTGACCTTGAGTAGTCAGTTCATTCTAGACAGAGTATATAGTTTCATTCTAGACAAGAGGACCAAGTTTAACACCGACAAAAGTGATTTAAAATGTCTTTTCTTTCGTATTGCAGATTATAAAGGGTCTGAAATACAATCAGGCAGTGGATTGGTGGTCGTACGGTGTGCTTCTCTACGAGATGCTCACGGGACAGTCGCCTTTCTCTGGCTGCGACGAGGACGAGCTATTTTGGAGTATATGCAACGAGAGACCGTTCATACCACGTTACCTGAGCCAAGACTCCAGCGACATATTGATCGCCCTTCTGGAAAAGGACTCTGGCAAAAGGCTACCTGGACACGAAATCGCCTATCACTCGTTCTTCCAAGTAATTAATTAACAAAAAATTCATTTTCATTAGCTTTTCCTCTTCGTTAGATCATTCTGGGAAATGAAACAAATGACCAATTTATTCATTCTTCCAGTCATTACCATGGGATAGATTAGAGAGGAGACAATTGGAACCACCTTTCAAGCCAGCTCTGGATCACACTCTAGACACCAGGTACTTCGATACAGCGTTCACAGCCGAGAGGCCTCGACTAACCCCTGTACCTGAGCAGATACTCTCCTCCATGGACCAGGGAGTCTTCCGTGGCTTCTCTTACACTAATCCAAATGCAACAGACTGAACTCTTCACCAGAGAATTGCTATAAATTGCACAGCTTTGTACCAATTGATGGCGTTCAATGCGTTGCTCCTATCTTATGGCGTGGATGATCCTGCGGATCGTCTAGGAAGTGATCTGACAGGAGGATGAAGAGATTACTCTCATTTTTGTTGTCTATAAGGCCAGATGACGGACTGAGACTCGGTGAAGTCGTTGAAGGAGACGGCCAGAATGGTTCAACAAAGAGTAAATGTTCCTGTAACGCTTGCACTCACAAAGAGTCAGGCTTCCAGCGATAGTGCTAGGTTTTTGTATAACGTAGGCGCTGCGTTGCTAGGATAGAACACTTGTTAGATTAGCCTTCCATGGAACGTAGACGGGGATTCCAAGCACTTGAAAAGTTCGAGTTTGGTTTCTCACTTTTTTTTAAAGCATTCTTCCTGAAAAGAAATAAAGAAAATAAAAATGTACGATGGAATATTGTGAAGGAGGTTCTGCTAACAACGATGCCTGATACGATGATGTTTCAAATAAAAGAATGGTCAATGTTTCTTGAACTACAATCTGTCTAATTGGTATCAAAAAGTAGCATGGATTGGAGAACCGGAAGACACTCAGAGAGCCGCAATTGCATCGCGTACCCGTGTTTATTCTAAACGTCTAGCGTTACACCGCGGTCAGGTTATTAATACTCTGAGTGGTTCATTATTTTGGCCACGATAGATACTGTCTAGAGCGTCTTCCACCCACAAACACCTCCATCCTGCTCGTTTTTCCCAAAGGAACAATTTGTTTCTTTTTCTCCTGGTTCGTTCTTTGACGTTCGTCCTACAACTTCCACCATTTCCCCTGCCTCCTCCATTTTTCCTTTTTCTGCTTTCACTTCTCTTTCTCCATCTGTGTTCTCACTTCTCAGGTCGCACACTTGGCTCCGCGCTGACTGTACGCTAACTTTAGCACGTCGTGGAATTGGCAAAGCACCACGACCCGACGACGAGGCTCAAAAACGTCGAAGAACACTCCAGGACGCTTTCCATGTAGTCCTCTGGAATATGGAGGACCTTAACTTAATTATAACACGTTATAGAACATGATTTAATAACAAATATTTAACGCTAATCGAGTTTTCTTAATTTTTAACCCATAACAAAGACGTAGAGAATCGGAAAGTGGAAGTTAATGACCCCATCAGTTGATTAATTGATTTAATTGGTGGATCAATGGGTCGCATCTAACCATTAATTACTCCTTACAGAGCGTGTACATTGACACAGTGTTCCCAGAACACAATCTTAAATTAATAAGCTTCCATAAACATTTCTAAATTCATAAATTTATGGTTATCGAAGTCTGAAATGAATCTAAGAGGGAATTAACACGAAGAACATTGAAAGGTGCCCGTGAGAGTTCCGCGAAGCGGAGATCGAATCAGCCAAGTGGATGGGGAGGAGGCCAGGCGGCTCGAGAAATTGAAACGAGGAGAGATTTAGAATGGAAAGAGACGCTGTAGGAAGAGCAGGCAAAAACCGACCGGTCAATGGACTCTGAGTCCGCGGTTTCTTGCTCTTTAACCGGCAGATTGTTTCAAAGCAGCCTTCTAACAATTTTTCCCAAACCAAACCCGAGAAATGTAGAATTTTAATGTCATGCAAAATTGCGTCTCTGTTTCATTTCTCAAACCTGAATGCTTGTATCATTCCTAAAATTAGCTAAATAAAAATTCTAAATCGTTCAAATCTTTCTTCACCTTCTCTTTCAAACTTCAACGCATCATGACATAAAAAAAAGTTACCAGAAAGCCTGTATCTTGAAAGACAAACATTGACAATTCTAAACTTGGCCTAATAAAGGTTTTTGAAAGAGAAGGATGACCAGAAGCGACGGTAAGACGGACTAGTAGGTAGCAGAGACGTCGCCAGTATCGGCAACTAAAAATAAAAGAGGATCCCGGTCGTTAAATGGGGCGGGGCGCGGTTGAAACATTACAGGAACGGCTTGACGAGGTTCGAGGCAACGTGGACGCACGAAATCTAGGCTTTTAACGAGAAGTGCAGACTTATTTGACGGCAAGGCGACTGCGGGGCGCCCGCAGGGCCGCATCGAGGCGTCGCGGCGCGAGGGTGTCGCCCCTATAAATAGCAGGCGACGCGGCACGATGCGGCCCTACAATCGTACGGCTATTTTCGACGGGCATCGACACTCGTTACAGTTCTCCAACCGCTCTACTCGCGACGACGTTTCCCTCGACGAATGTTCCTCCGCTTCATGGAACAAAGACACCGATGCTGTTTACCCCGCGAGCAACAAGAATCCGCCTCGGGTCCTCTCCGGTTCCGGTACATACACCCCAAAGACACTGATTCGTCCTGAAATGCGAATTCACTGGACTTTTGTGCGTGTATGAGAGATAAATAATCCGCGAAGTAAAGTGTTACGATTTTAAAGTGGTTTCCTCGGGTAAGAAGATTTTGAAGCAAGTGGACGAAGGTATACGTGATTCTGTTGGAGTGTACCAATGGTGTACACAATATTTTCCGGAGAATTTAGAGAATCTTAAATTAGTCAAAAATTCATACTTCCAATAACTCATGGTTAAAAATAATGAAAGAGTGATTTCGACTATTTTAAGAAAGAAATTTTCTTTGGAAATCTTAATTATCCTAGCTTATAGGTATTGGGTCAAAGTTGACTACTAATTCTATATATAACATTTTTCTAGAAAAAAAAAAAAAAAGAAACAAGATTACTCATTGGTACACCTAATAAATTCCCATGGCCCCGCTCCAAACGATCTGAACGAACAACCAAAGACTTCTTCCTCTCCATATTACAAGAGCGTCTACAATTAGGATGTGAAGCAGAAGCATTCAATTGATCACTTCTTCAGCGATTGTAATGGTCAGTCGGAAGAAACATATCGTTAGTGATCGATAGTATAACCCAAGAAGAGACTGTCGAGAATGTTCAGCTCGCTGAGACTGACCACCATGCGCTCGCACAAGAACCGTGCTAGACCAGGAAGCGTGGCCACCTCAGCGAGTTCAGATTCTGCCAGAGGCGATGAGATTTCTCCTCAGCCCTATCACACGCACAGTTTTCTGCTACTGGACGACCAAGATGGTCCCGTGTCCACTCCTTCTAGCGTCTCTTCGAAGGTTGCCCAGGTCAGAGTGGAACGTGAAGGAGGAAGCCTCGGCGTGACCCTCAGAGGAGGAGTTTCCAGGGCTTTGGTGGTCACTGGAGTGAAGTCTGACGGACCTGCCGCGAAAGAGGGAAGAGTCAGACCTGGAGACAGGCTATTGGCTGTAGATGATACTGAACTGAGGGGTCTGACCTTGGCTGAGGCCCAGAGAGCGCTCAGGAGGAGTTCTGATGCACCAGTGGCTTCTTTAACCATCGAGTATGATGTTGCTAATATGGAGGAAGCTCGGGCAGCCACTTCCGGTCCGTTGCTGGTACAACTAGAACGCGGACTCTCAGGTAATTGAATTTGAATTCAAATAATTGAACGTATGATATACGTACTACATAACAATCGTAGGAGAGCTAGGTCTGACGGTCAGAGAGACCCCGAACGGTGTCTACATTGAGAGTCTCCGACCAGCAAGCACCGCAGACCGTTGTGGCGCATTGCAACCTGGGGACAAACTCCTAGCTGTCGATGAAACACCTGTCCAGGACGCAGTAACTGCTGCCAAGCTGCTTAGAAACAACTTTGACTCTCGTATAGCCAGGCTACAGATCCTACCAAGGCCCCCAAGCGTCTCTCAGAGGACCGTGAAGAGAAGGGCGCAGCCACAGGCCCAGCAGACCTCCAGTCAGACTCTGCAGACCACAGAGAGCCTCACAGTGGTCCTCAGACCCGATCACAAGGGATTCGGCCTGGCTCTGAAACCTGCAGAGGACCGTCTGAACTACGTGGTAAATTTGTTAGAAGCTGGAGGCCCTGCAGAGCGCAGTGGAGTCCTTTTGCCTGGGGACAAAGTGCTCGCAATTAATCGTAGGATGCTGAGGGATCTGCAGCCGGCCGAGGTGACGGGGATTTTGGAAACTTCACAAATGGTGGATACTTCAGCTTCTAGTAACCATAATATTGACCCCTGAAGTTACCAAAGATACTAAAAATCATTTTTCTCTTATCAGATTGAACTAGTGACGGAGTATAAGGTCGGTGGACCGGTTGTACCGAGCTCAGGAGTGTTCACAGTAAGGGTGGCGAGGCCTATAGGCGGTCAGCCAGACGTAGGCCTAACAGTGAACGAGGACCTGATCATCACAGAGGTTCGTAAGGGATCTCTAGCCTACAGAACCGGCAGCCTGGCTCCTGGAGATAGGCTACTGGCCATAGACGGGCAAAAATTGGACCCTGGCGACCTCAGACAGGCTGCTCAACTGTTACATCGACCTGGAAGCTCGGTTATAGCGTTGACCGTGAGGAAACCAGATCCTACCTCAGAAACTAGGTAACTACATGGCTCGTAATTCTTATAAAGTTGAAATGGTGCAAGAGAATAGTGAAAAGTAAAGAAATTTCGGATTTTGACAGAGAATACTGCAAGGAGTCCAGCATAGGAAGCGACACGGTGCAACAGTATACTCCAGGAATTTTACGGCCAGCTAGGGAAAGCCTGCCAAGCGTGGATAGCGCTGTGGATTCTTGGGGTGAGCTTGGGGAAAACAGTGGAATGGGTCCGGAGATTCTGAGGCTTTGGGACACTGCTTCTGTGGACAGTGGTCAGCTGGAGCTGCCTATGCCTCCTTATCCTGGGTAAAGACAATAGAAAACTGCGGTGAAACTTGTTAAATGCTCTTTCTAATTTTTTACAATATTCATTTGGTCTTAATAAACCTAGAATCAAATTCTTCCACTCTTCTTTCAATCCTTCTTCTCGTTTTTAGACCACAGGAGTGCAGCAACAACCCAGACAGACCCCAGCAAATAGTTCACGTCTCCCTGCACAAGGATCCGGTTTACGAGGACTTTGGATTTTCAGTGTCTGATGGCTTGTACGAGCGTGGAGTCTATATAAACCGTCTCAGACCTGGAGGACCATGCGATGGTGTTCTAAGACCTTATGACAGAATACTGCGGGTGAACGACGCCAGTACCGAAGATTGTGATTGTTGCTTGGCAGTTCCACTGATTGCTGCAGCTGGTCCTCGTCTGGATCTAACTATAGCCAGACCTGTTTCTCCTCCTAATATCATAAAGACTCTGTAGAAGACGGGTTAAGTTAATACAGTGACTCGAGCAGTATATCAACGTGAAAAGTGGTGGATGAACATATCTCTGGTTCTATATTTTTGTACACACCTGTATTTTATTTATAAAAATAAATGTATAGATTGCTTTCAGCTAGAACATCTTCTCCTGCACACAGTTCACACACACTATACGCCTGCAAAACACGCCTTAACCCTCTACGAATTATTTCTAGAGAGGTATAATTGGTTTAACTAATACGGAGAGGCACTTGAGAGATCTACTGGCGGCAATTAGGGTATCTAAATTAAGCTGGACACCCAACAAGGATCAATCTAGATTTCTACAGTTCTTGGAACCTCTCTGTACACGTTTCATTAATTATACCTTTGTAATAATAAAGGCTAAAGAAGGTATTAGCTAGAAATGAAAATTCATTTCACCGGTGGTATAAGATTTAAAGAGTATTTGGGAGGACCTTCATAAAGGGTTAAAGTGTTTTATGTTCGCTTATTTATAAGAACCTATGGAGTTGATGAAATTGAACCGCGACACCTGAGCTAATAACTGAAGGAAGGTATTCAATTTAAAACCTAATCAATACTACGTGAATGCCGCTCGATATCGAGCACAGTACGGCTGAGACCGGTTTTGCTATCTATTCATCATTGTTTAATGGGACTACGTAGGAATGTTATCGATCTTATTACGCTTAGTCCTGACTCGTAACAACCTTAGACGCTAATTGACCCAGCAATCAGCCGTGAACAATGCTAACGTTTGTACAATCCCACCTTGCCAGCAGGTCGTAGAAGCGAGACTAACGCTGAACAAAGAATAATATCGCTTAAAATAATCTTTAAGTCGGAAACAGAAAAACCGAATACTAGGCGAGTTACACCTTTGTGCAGAATAATATTAATAAAATATATATGTATGTATATATAAATACTTTTGTCATCATATAAGTTTTGTTCTGTGTATATGTTCTAATATCCCTAGCAGAAAAAACTCATATGAATTTGTCAAGTGTGAAATGAGTCAACAATTCAGACTAGACAGCAAACAATTGCTTCTTTTTTTCAGTCCATCCATTCATCATGAAGGAACTACCACTGTCGCCGTTACGGTTCTTATCGTAATAATTGGGAAGAGTTATCTGATTTTCTTTCTCTAGTCTCTGATCATATTTTGCCTTGTTATAACACAGCACACCACATATGGCCATTGACATTCCTAATATGTTCAACCATGTCACTGGATTGCCAAGCACAAGCAAAGTTACTGCAATTACAAATATACGCTTGCTTGCACTGGCCACTGCATAAGTCAAGGGGGTAACAATGGACAGTACAGAAAAGGCTATGATGTTCTGGAGCCAGTTCAGCACACCATCCAGGAATAACAGGCCCAGTATATAATAGCTCAAGTCTATTGATCCACCAGTGTCTGGATCATATATTAATCTCCTCAAATCATATAGTAACCATATAGGGGAGAACAAGATCAATGCCAGGCGACCTAGAATGAGCAGAAGTCTCAGATGATGTATTCTTGTATCATGTAATACCTGAAAATGAACACAGAGTTAGGATTATGATTTTATAGATGTAGGTTCAATTTGAAATTAGAATACATACCTTCTTAGAATAAATATTTTGCAAGGAGAATGCCATGGTAGATGCTAAGGCACTCAACAAACCAATCATATTGAAGCTGAGCTCAGTAAGCGTGGCAACACCAACACCCAAGACAATAGGGACTAGGCTAAGATAGATCTTCCAAGTCTGCTTTTCCTTCAATATGATTCTTGACAGGAACACCGTGAAGAAGGGCATTGTAGCCTTCACTGGGACAGAGCCAATCTTCAGTTAATATATGAGATTTATGAAAGTAGAAATAAATAGTTATAAATACTCTTGTAAAGAATATAAAAATTTCATATTTTCACTGATTCCTATCAATAACAAATTATTCATTATCAAGCCAAAGTATCAGAAAAAAGCCCATACAAATAGAAAAACTCAAAAATGCTATTGTCAAGATTATAAACATTGAAATTTCTTTTTTCAATTATCAATTAATTGGTCGATCAATTAAAAGCTTTATCAACGTTATCGAGCGTCATCAGCAGACAGCATTAACGCTACCGCGTTAGTCGCGAAGGTCGCGTCATTTTATTTTTAAGCCGTACGCGTGCAATCCACGTGACTGTCAAAATATTATCTCATACCAGTATGAGCGTACGAGACGGGCACTTTCCAAATGCTGACGTGGCTGAATACGTTCGCGAGGAACTTGCCCAGGGCGAGTGGCACGATCAACCGTAAGTAATATCCCCAGGGGATGTTCGACGAGTACTTCCGTACGCCCCATAGATTGAAAAACGGGCCTGAATAGATGGTGATTGAAGTTAACTGGACCATGGTCACTGTCATCGGATAGGGAAACTCCGAGAGCAACATCTTGCCCACCACATTACTGCTGCTCGAGATCCCATACCAGAGCAGACAGAGAAACAATATGGTGGCCACTTCCCGGTTGTTCCGACGGTCATCCATGATTACACTTCTCCGCGTCCTCACTCCATACGTGTACACGACAGGTTCGCGCGGTACTCCTCAATACTCGGTATTCGCGGCCACCGCCACGGATGGAATTCGAGTACAGCTGGCATTTCTCTCTCCCTCTCTTCACACGGTCCCTCTCTCTTTGCGCAACACTTCGGTATAACACGTGGCGCACGCTTCGAACGATAATTAGTGTGTTACGATACTAATCTACGCTTGTCAAGGAACATATCTCGATATCTCGGATTTAAAGAATGCAATTTTTTTTTCTTATTGTTGATTAATCATTTTGTAGCGTGTCAAATAAGGCCTTGGAAGAGTTTTAACCTTAGGAACTAGTAATTGAAATAAAAAGAATGTATTTTCAGAAAAAACTATCGAATTTGGTTCATTACTTTGTTGGAAAAAATTTTTTAAATATTGCGTACTATTTTATATTCAAAGTTAATAGTAACTGTTATAAAAAATTAATTTTACTTTATTACCTTTCGTTTAATACGGTAATTCTTGTAACACTAAACTTTTATGAGGTTAAGCTCTTCCATTTAGAAATGAAGCTTATAAAGCTCTAAATATTTGATTCAATACAAAGTGGGTTACAAATTGTAATTAGGAAAGTTTCTGTATCTTCTCTAGGAAAAATCTAAATAAAAGAAAATGCTCATTAGATAAAACATTGTAACTATTCTTCGATAACAAGTAAATATTTGTTCAAGACTAACCAATTACTAAAATGCGTAATACCAACGATAAAGTAGTAAAATTCCCTAGGAGTGGTACCACCTTGTACACGTAGAATCTCTACGTAATAAAGCGTCGCAAATAAATTGTTTCGAATCTTAGTGTACTGTTACTTCCCGACCGCTAAAGGCAGGTATACAACGAAAAAGGGATCTTGCCCCAACTTCGGTCTAATGACTCTTACGTTAAAGAAGGAATGCAATGATATGTAGGAAAAGAAAAGACATTTAGTCTTGGAATCGTCTGATACAGTCATCAATGGAGCTGATGTAGACGACTCGTATTCTAAACGCCTAAACTATTGTTTCTTTTCTTCTTTCTTCTGAGTTCTGAAGTATGGACCTGGTGTTACCAACATGAAGTAGTAAAGGGTACATTAGTTTGGTTATAGGGAAAAAGCTGTAGGGGAAAAGCAAGTAGTATGGTAACATGATTTTTGAGAAGTTTGAAAATTTATACAATTTTTAGGTAATCACGAGATTTTTAGTATAAATTACGAATTCGTAAACAAATCATCCCTAAATGTTAGTGAGAAGTCTACCTTCATTTTGTAAGGAATTTTATTTAAATCGTACGTTCCCATAATCGATACCTCAGAATTTGCATATCGTAGGTTGCACAGGATATCTACTTAACACAAGACATTAAAAAAAATTGACTGTGCTTGCCAGAACAATTTGTTCAGAGCGACAGGTAGATTGCATTTTGACAATGTCTGGCATTGGATGAAAGTTCGCTTAGATAAGAATTTTTCTCAGTAGATTCTGATATAAAAAAGATGGTTCATTTTTATTGTCGAATTGAATTTCATGACTTGGGGGAATATAATTTTGTAAGGGCAATATGAACTGAATGCGTCGGTTCTGCAGTTTAAATGAGAGCGTGTTATGGGCTGTTAAGTTTTAGTTCTTCTTTGAGATTGTCAAAGAAAATGTTGAACAGTCTTTTGAGGATAACAGTAAAGATTTTCTGGGAATTAGCAGTGAAAGTATAAAAGTGTTCATCCTCTTCCAGGAGAATAACCTTGAAAACAAGATAGTCCTGCTTGCATCCTATCCCCAAAGAACTTTAGTTTGATGTTTTCACCACAATTCAATTCAGGATTCTTAGTAAGCTTGACTATTTATATCTCCTTTGAAATTGTAAACATAGAGCCAGGAGGGGGAGGGCCGCTAATTTGACCAGGTTATTACTCGCAAGCTTAGCATTGTTATCTGTTGGAACGTTTATTCCTGGATCCGTTCCGAATTCCAGAAGATTCCCTGGCCTAGACGGAACACGTTTATTTTGCTCAGTTTAATTCGTCCATGTCCTTGTTTTGTTTTTCAAAAAAGGACAGCACACTGTAACTATTGCTAACCGAAACCGTTACAGATATGTACATCCAGATTTGAATTAAAATCATTAAGTATTTATAAGGGTAATTTTATTACCCGTCACCGAATCTTTCGAATTTCCAGTATATTTGTTAGGTGTTGAAATACATATTATTTTCAATGGAAATATATCATTTCATCACATTTCCGATTTTTGAGGTGGGGTTCATGATACAGGAAGCTGTCTATAGCCCTCTTGGAAAGTACTCAACACCAAGTTCTTGACGATGATTCCGGGAAGCTACGTCCACTATTACCACATTTTTTTCCGACTCTGCTTCCTGGGGTTAACGCATGAGGTCTCTTAAGACTTGCGCAATTTTCGACCACTGTGGTCGAGAATTACGTTGTTGGAGAACAGGAAATCAGGGCGTGATCATACGTAGGGCCTTCTCATCCTCGGCCGGAACGTTGCTGGCGCTTGAGGTTAAAAATAATGTTAGGATACGTACGTATTGATTCACTATTAATTAAGAGAGACTGAAAGGACGTCTAATGTGATTGAAAAACTCAGAATAACGCACTGAAATTTTGTAAGTCTAACACGTGGTTAGACAGAAATATGCTTGGAGAGAACGCTCTTGAGAAACATTCGTACGCTGCGTTTGTTAGACATGAAGTGAAGTAAAACTGTCAGACGCCTGGACGATTGAAAATTGAAACTATTGTATATACATATATACAGGGTGCTTTAGAAATAGGTAGTTAAACTTGAGTGTCGTATTCTACCTTACCTAAAGATGGAAAAAGGTTATATAAACATAGATCCAAAAACTCTTCCTTTTCTAAACGCTTTTTTATTGAATGTTTAGATAGAAATTGATTTATTAAAGCATAAGCTGCGTTAAATATCAGGATGGAGGACTTACTCTACTACAATATTCACTTCTAACAGAAAAAAGTGGTAACAATACTCGTAATTCTACGAGTGACGAAGTTATGTAAAATTTCGAGGTGAACAAAAAGTGTTCATATCTCGAAAAGGAAGAGTCCCCGGACCTATGTCTATATGACCTTTTTTCATCCCTAGGGAGAGTAGAATACGATACCAAAGTTTGGCCACTTATTTCTGTAGTACCCTGTATAGAAATGAAGACTAGAGCGTGTACTTGCGAGAGAATTGAAAGTTTGAAAGATTCCGGTGAGTCATCTGGTGGCTATCGTCCAAACTACTCAGATGGGGAATTTAAGAGGTTCGCAAGTGCCCGCCTGCGAAGAAGCACAGGGACGTCACAGTACAATTTATAAATAAAAAAAACAAGAAACTCGCCAACAATTACCTACGAAAACTAGTAAAAACTTGCACCTCATTTTAGAATGAAAATGCTTTAAAGCATATTCATTACTTTGGGTCTATATTAAGTTTCACTTTCTTGTCCACTTATTACGAAATGTCAAAGGTTTCCTCTTTGCATGAGTTTACTTACTATTCTTTGAGAATCTAGCCCACGTAATTACATAAATCTTCAATTTTTTATGTAACACAACGATTATAGGAAGTAAACCAAAAGTCAGTCATTTTCCTGAACATTGAAGGTAAAACGAAGTTTTCGAGGCGCGAAGTAGGTGGCAGTGAATCTCGACAGAGGGATGTCCCGTTTTGTGTACACAAAGCGATGATTACAGTTATGTTTTTAAAATCGTGATCCTGCACTATTCTTAAATAAAGATCGATTCTGGTGGATCACATTAGTCTCTAGTTATGCATACGATAATGATTCTAACGAATCTCGAAATGATTTAATAGAAGACAAAGTAGCATTGCAAGGTTATCTGTGACTTGCTCTGTGACATATGACGTGCTCTGAGCATACAACTTAGAATGCGATATATGAACTAGATTTCAATTAACCCACAGTTTCAAGTCCAAACTGATGTGTTTGCACTTTTTAATATACAAAATTCTATACCTGTTAATGACGACTCTTTAAAAGATTTAAAATGGATCCTTTGACTGCACCACCTTGCAAGAAGTATAAAAGGTTAAGTAATATTGACTTACCTATCATAGAATGCAAGAGAGAATTCAATTTGCCTCATAAATTTCCCAGTATGATAAAGCCAGCAACTTGCAATTATGTATTTAAGATCAATCAAATGGTTACTAACAATAAGGCAGGTGTGCCTGGTAGTTCAATGGATTTAAAGAATAGAAAGACACTAGCTATAAATGATATAAAGAAATTGAGGCTAAAAGCAAGAGATGGTAAAGATTTGGGTGAAGTTAAAGTACAATTTTTAGCTCCAAATGATGGCTTAAATGGTCAGAAAATTATCTATAATAAGCAAACTGTAAATCATAAGATAGATCAGCCTATGAAATTTTCTATAGTTCAGCCAAATGAATTGTTGAGTTCTTCAGGATCTAAAAATGATGTTACAGGACAGTTAGTTCTGAAATCAGTTTCTTCTAATGATTTGTCTGCAGTTATTAACAGCAGGCCAATTGAAACACATGTTAAAGGTAAGAAATTATTCCAAAAGCATTGTTTTTTAGCCCAAGTGAATAAGGCAATTCAAAAGAAGAAAGTATTAATGATGGGTGAAAATGAATATAAGGAGGTACATAATACTGAAGCCATTCCACAGGATGGCAAGTTAGAAAAGAATAATTTATCATCTGCAAATGATAAGAAGAATAAAACTTTAATAATGAAAAAAAAACCTGTATCAAGCAATGAGAAGAAGATCCAAACTGAAGCAAAATCATCAAACAGTAAAAATTCAAATTCTACCAAACATTGGCATTTGGCCAAATCGAAGTTTCCTGTGGTGAGATGTGAAAAGTTAATGATTTCCAAAAATAAAGTTGATGTTAATAAAATCAGTGTACCTTCTGCAAAGGTAAATAACAAAAACCAAAATTCTAATTCAGATGTACAAATTACTGTAACAAAAGAGAATGCTAAATCAAGTATCAATCTGTGTTGTACAAAACCTAGTGATAGTAAAAAGCATAATGTAACTACTTCAGCAAATATGGTGAACTCTATACAAAAAAAACTTAATAATACAATTGATGATACAGATGATGACAGTGTTATAATTATATGTGATAACAGTGTAAATACAAAAAAAGATTCTAACAGTGAACAAGGCAAAACCTCTACTTCTTTACCATCAAGCATTAAAACTGCAGATAATAAAAATCAAAGTATATCTAATGAGGTAGATAACAAGCAAATTCCTTGTCAAAACAAGGTAATACATAACAAGCAAGTTCCTTGTCAAAACAATGTAATGCATGATAATGAAGATATACAAAATAAAGATCTAAATTATGAAAATGATAGTGACAAAAATAAAGCTCAAAAGACTGCTAATAATATACTCAGGGAGGACAAATTAATGGAGCATTGGAATGTAATTAAAGAGGCATTGACTAGTGTGACAGATGAAGAGCTTAGAGCCAAAGCTTTGCAAGCCCTTACAGAGTGTGGAATAGGCATTGCGAAAAAGGTTCCAGTTATCCCACCTGAGCAATTAAAAACAGTTCATGACTCTCAGATTCAAACTGATGTATTTGGACTTCTTGATACAGAAAATTTTGTATTAGTGAACAAAGACACTCCTATCTTAGAAAGAATACAGCAAACAGAGCGTTCAACAATTACTCCTCCTGTTGTTCATTTTGAAACTGAAACACAAACAGAACCACAAATAGAAATACAAATGAAACCAAATATACAGCTCACAAGTAGATTAAATGATCCCATTAACAATATAGATTTATACCCAATGTGGGCTTCAGTACCCATGGAGGATACAATTGACATAGATAATTTTTTCAATGAACAATTTGTCAACAATACAGCTGTGGATAAAGTAAAAAAGGTATTGTCAACACCATGTTCCCTGTACAAGAAGGTTGCCACACAATTAGAAAAGGATTACGAAGGAATGCAGCAGTTCAATGAGAATGGAATGTTGAACATACATACAGCAGTGGTAAACAACCAGCTGCATGAAGTGCAAAGACTATTGCTGGTATTACAAGCTTCAAAAACAGACATTGACGTGTTAACAGCAAATGGAATGGTAAATTTATACTTGTTAAATGTAATATAAAAAGGAAAGGTTAAATTATAGAGAGAATCAAACTTCTTTTTAGACATCTTTGGAACTAGCAATTCAATCAGATGCATCTGAAAGCATATTGAAGGTGTTACTAGAAGCAGGAGCAAAACCACTGTTCCCAGAGCTCTTACATGAATCTGCTGTAATTTTAGCTAGCAAACTATCATCCCCATTCTTATCAATTCTTTTAAATTATGTGACAAACAGTAAGCTACTTGACCAAGTGGATTCATTTGGTAAGTATTAAAAAATGAAAGTAACAGAAATACTTGAATTTGTTTGTTTTTATATTAATTTACCAATACATATATTTCTTAGGATTTGCTCCTTTGCATTACTGTACATTAAAATGCAATACGAATGGTGTGAAAGCTTTAATAAAGGCTGGTGCAGATGTAAATCTCAGGGATAATCGTTCAGGGAGAACGCCACTCTTTCATGCCCTTGAAAATAATTACACAGAAATTGCACAAATATTATTACAAAATGATGCTATTGCAAATTTATTGAATTATTCTGGTCAGTCTGTTCTGAGCCTAGTGGACATGACAAAAAATCTTTCATTGAAAACACTAAAACAAATAATGTCTTAGCCTTCTTTGAGCATCACACAGTAATATTATAATTCAGACATCACAATTATTCTTGTAATGTTAGATTAAGAATTATTGCAAAAATCATAGTGCATTTAACACGTTTACGGCGGATGTACGTACATGACTGTCCCATCGGGTGTACCACTAGTGGTACAAACAGATTTAATCACTTTTATCGGTCTATTTGTTAATAAAATTAATAAAACTTCTATAAATTGATCGAATCTAGCTAGTTGCATGAATTTGAATAAAAAAAGAACCACCATGGAACAACAAAGGTACAATAAAAGAAAAATTTTCTACTGAGCTTAATAATAATCTAGCCGTAACTTTGAAGGAAATAACAATGACTGTTTTTGTTTTGAATGTCATATTAACAAAAAATAATATCCAGGTTAGCTATATAACATCATGCGATTGAATTCAAATCAGTGCCGCCTGGTGGAAAACAGTACAAATAATAGAGCCACCCGACAGCGAGTCATACGAATTACGTCCTCGTCGTGAACGTGTCAATGTACGCTACTTTAATAGATTTATAGAGTTAGAATTAGAGTTGTAATTTGGTGCTTTTTGAAAGTCTTCAAATTATTTCTTTCTAAAGATTACTGATATTAATTGTTTCATTATCATTATTTAGTTTTAAAAATAAAATATTGATAATATTATTACTGATTATTGCAATTATCTATTTACCGAATCTTCTATTATATGCTGCTATAAATGAGATTTAATAAATATATCAGATGACTTAACATTTTTTTATAAGAATCAATAGTTGAAAATGTGTAATGTAGAAAACATAAATTAAGATTGTAAATTATGTAATTTTCATACATAAGTAACTAACAATTGTTCAATAATGTTAAAAGATTGATACATCAGTCATTAATCACATTTCTCTTTGTTATATATGACGTGTATTTGAATAAATAATATATATATCTGAAGATTTTTAAAATATTTGTAGTGAATTTCATTTTCTATTCTTTGGATACTTTTACGAATTAAATTAAAGTAAATTATAATATTAACTTTTCCGCTTTAGATTTAAAAGAACCGTTAAATTTGTAAACCTAAGGCTGCTTCACAATGCAGCTTGATCAGCAAGAGAAAACATTTGAAAATTCGAGTTGATGCATCTCATGCACTTTTCAATCTATGGTTGTACACCTGTTACAAAATGTCCATCAGTTTTACGAAGGAAGCTATCATTATTTTGTGAAGGTTAAAATCTATTAATTTTATCTTTAAAAGCTTGACATTTCTGTTTTATTCTCATGGATCTGGGAAGCAGACGGAAAAGTTCCGACAAAAGGTCCGTTTCTTTAAAATTCTCCTTGTAATATGCAAAGTGTATCGCACAGCTTTGTTGCAATATTCTTTTGTTAATTCACTTTTAAATAATTCGTAATATCATAATCATAATTCATACAAAAGTTTCTTAAATGCTTTGCCGTAAACTTATTTCCAATTTACAATGTTAATAACAATTTGGTTATTGCGCACAGTTTTGATACAGACGACGACTCTGATTATGCCATGATAAAACGCATTAAAATGGAACCGGAAGCTATATTGTCTCAGGAAGATGATATAATGGCACAGTTGCAACAAGAAAGTTCTGATTTAGAAGTGGAGCCAAGCTTTGCTTTGGAAGGTTCTGCAAATGGTGAAGATTGCAATGAGGGTGTTTTGATGCAACATATGGACATCAGAGAGCCTCTATCTACCCTAAGGAATTTATTGGAACAAAGACTTGGAGTAGAATTAACAGACTATTCATTTTGGCTACAAGATGCACAAATGGTAACCATTGCAGCAGAAGAATGTAAACATTCAAAGAAGCTTGGTAACAAATATTCCTTTATTTCTAATATTTCTTCAGCTAGAGAGTCACAAGAACTTGGTCGACCAATGTGTGCAAGGAGAAGGACTGGTTCAAGTGAATGTTCAGATAAAAGCAACACAGAGAAGAATAAATATAGTGGATGTTCTAAAGCCTGCAGAGGATTATATAGAGTTGGCAGAAAATAATGGTATATATTAAAATTTGTACCATTAATAGTATTTTATGATTCCATTCAATATACATACTTTAATCTTCAGCATCCACACCAAGTAATGAAGACAGCAAACGAAATGTTATAAGATGGATGGTTGATCCACAGTACAAAAAAGAACAGGTACAATATTAAGTTTATTTAAACATCAAAGTTAATGTTATACACCCATTGTACACCTGCATGTATTATACAGGAACGGTTAAAAATTCCAGCCGACCCTAAGGAATGGACACAAACACATGTGAAACATTGGCTTCAGTGGGCAGTCAGACAATTTAATCTCGCCTCCGTGAGGCTAGCCGATTGGAACATCACTGGTCACCAATTGTGCAATCTAACCCTGGAGGAATTCCAGGCTAAAGTGCCTTTGGACCCAGGAGAAGTGTTCTGGACTCACTTGGAGTTGCTCCGCAAGTGTAAATTTGTCGGTATGTATATTTATTATAAAGATTTCTTCTTAAATCATTCTTTGGTATTTCACTTAATATTATTACTTCATAGCTGTTGTACAGAAAGATGCTTCAGCATCACCCACGGAAAACATTATGGACAAATCTATCAAAATTCGTAGTCAGAAGGCCACGAAACCTAGGCCAGTGGTGAATCAGCAGGCAAGAGTGGTCAGTGTTCCTTTGGAGAACATAGACAGCACTCCGATCACTATAGCGACCTCCAGTCGTTCAGTCAATAGCGGCCAGATACAATTGTGGCAATTTTTACTGGAATTGTTAACCGATCGCGAGCATAGGGGTGCCATTCAATGGGTAGGAACTGAGGGAGAGTTCAAATTAAATCAACCAGAGGCTGTGGCACAACTCTGGGGAGCGCGCAAGAACAAACCTTCGATGAATTATGAAAAATTGAGCCGCGCGTTGCGTTACTATTACGATGGAGACATGATTTCGAAGGTTCACGGGAAACGATTCGTCTACAAGTTCGTCTGTGATTTAAAGCAGGTTCTAGGATATTCTGCAGCGGAGTTGAGCAAATTGGTGGAGGAAGGCAGAAGATATTTCTGATGGAGCGTTACTTTTTTATCGTTATCGCACTTCTCACGCGTTTTTCATCAAACATTGTACATATTGAGGGGAGTATCGGTTATTGTCCAGATAATCGAGCGTACATCGAAATACAAAGATTAATACAGAGATTGATATTTATTTATTCCTTGAATTAAATACACTCTTGCTAGGGAACCACACACCATAAATGTATATCCTTAACGTACTTGCATTAGCAGACATTAACATTTTGGCGTGCAGTTCTTGGAATTCAGAAACTGAAATGCATCTACAGAAAATATTTCCAAGCATTTTTTAACGTGAATATATAATCATATTTTACAAACAATTTTTTTTTTACAAAATATGTTGTTCCATTACAGTATAGTGAAACGTTATATATTCACAAGGGAAACTCCATTATAATTTTCCAAGATGCACCATGCAGTAGAGACCTTCGAATGTCAAGCGTCGACGTTTCCGGCCGTTTTCTATCTCTGATGACTAGGACTGACTTTTGATCGACAAAAGGCAGCATTCATCGCCAATACCAGAGAATCTAGCCTGTGAGATATCGGTCGCGACGTCACAAGTTAGGGTCTCAGGGGACCGGCGACCCGGCAGGCTT